AATTATATAATTTTTAATCGAACCAAAAAAACCAAAATTATTTCGGTTCGGTTCGATTTTTGAAAAAAATTTTTGATTTCGACCAAAAATCAAAATACAAAGAGAAAAATTCTAATTTCTAAATCCCTAACCCTAAGTTAGGCAATCTTCATTCTTGCTAAAAGTCTGAAACACGAAAGATAAGATGCGGTCATGAACGTCTTCCACTCTTTTCCTCTTCACTTATGCTAGGCCTCTATTTTTACCTTCTTTTCCTTTCATATTCTATATTTTCTCCTCTTTCTTCTCATACTTTGATCACATCGGGGAAAATAGGGCACCTGTGGTAAGTCGGCTATTATTATCTAGTGGATAAAGCAAAACTCAATACTCTGTTCTAACATTTTGTTTCGTTGCTTCCTACTTGAGGTAACATCTCCACCATTACACTTCTTGCCTCTCAAATCTACATCTCTATATTGCAATACACTAAATAATCACATGTTTTACATATATATGGAGAAAAAGGTGGCTATAAGCTATCCGATTGGAGTTCTTAAAGACTCGCTTTAGGAGTGAAGAATCGGAAAGTTGTTCTTCAAAAGGACCCACATCGGATGAGGTCTGCTCAAAAAGTTTCAAAGGCCACTTCTCGTTGGCAAGGATTTGTCAAATTACTTAGAAGAAGATCGAAGAATCCTATAGGAACATTGCATCCTCTCGGTGTCCCAAAGCTCTCTATGAGAAAGAGCAATAGCATGAGAGAAAGCATTATAACGAATCTCTTTTCTAATGCTGATTCAAGCAATTTTATGTCTCTAAGGATCAACTTCGTACTCTCGAGCTCCAAGCTGCAACCAACAATTTTAGCCAAGGTTTTTATTTTGTTATGTGATGCTTTCCATTTCTTGTCCTTCCTTGTTTCCCTTACGTTATGTGATACTTGAGATGTACACGGTTAGCAAACGAATTGAACGAGAATAGATAAGATTGTTCGACCACACATGCGATACACACTCTTAGAGTGTAAACATGACTCAATTTTCAAAAATTTAGTAGTATTTTTTTGATAATAATATGAATTATTTATAAAGTTTGGTTTTTTGTTTATAGAAAATCTAATTGGAAAAAGCGACTATGCTTGAAGTTTACAAAGGGTGTTTGCAAAATGGGAAAATTGTAGCGAGTTAAACGGCTAACACAAGGAACAATTGATGAGATTATTGGGGACTTTTTATTCGAGATGGGGATTTTGGCCCATGTGAACCATCCTAATATAGCTAAGTTCATTGGCTATGGAGTTGAAGGAGGAATGCACCTTGTTCTTGAATTGTCTCCACATGACGACTTAGCTTACGTGCTTTATGGTTAGTTCATGAATTCTAGGTTCTCGGTTTTGAAAAGCTTTTCGTTTTCTTACAAGTGCTAAATTTTAAAGGTTCAAAAGAGAGATTGGCATGGCATGTCGGATATAAGGTTGCATTATGGACGGCTCATGGTTTACTATATCTTCATGAAGGTTGCCAAATCGAGTAATACATAGAGTTATGAAGGCTACTAACATTTTGTGTCCAAAGGACTTTGAGCCTTAGGTATCAAGCAATAAATTTTTTAATTATTCTTACTTTCCTTTTTAGATTAATAATAACTAATGTTTGTTAGTGAAAAAGAAATAGTCTTAACTAAATTTTATTTTAGGTTTGTGATTTTGGTCTCGCTAAGTGGCTACCGGAGCATTGGACTTACCACATTGTTTCCAAATTTTGTATCTACTTAGACGGTCTAATGGCAAACTTTGTATCAACCTATCCTGCATATGCATTTTTTTGTATACATATCATGTGCATCATGTAAGTCAAACTTTTTATTTATTATTTTCACTCTAATGGTTGGAGAAATATTTCATATTTGTCTTGCGTAATCGTGCCTTTTTTTTTCCGAGTACTCTTTGGCCTTTGCATCATCGAAGTTAGACAGAACCTTTTTTTTTAACGACAAAAAAGTTTTATTAAACCGAATTATTTAGAAACCAAACTGAAATAATTCAATTTCAAATAGAATTAATCGAATTAATTTTGGTTCGATTTTGGTTTTCATTTTTTCAAATTCGATTAACCAAAAATCGAACCGAATTGTGCATAACTAAATCGTTTAATCGAATAATCACCCCTATCCGGAGGATAAGAAGGAGACAGATTACATGTTTTAAAGAGAAATAGATTTTCATTAAATGATACATGCCTAACCACATAGATTATATCTTGGTCAATGTCCGGAAAAAGTAACCATAGTGATGTGGAGACTTTCCCAAAAACATGCATTCTTTGCTTCTAAAGTTGAACTTGTTTTTGTTATATGGTCTAAGGTAGGGATAAATTGCACAACCAAAGGTCTTGCCTTCTAGGTAGTTCGAGCTGCTTGTGATATAAAAGTGCGTAGGGTACTTTTTGTTTTAGACTTATACTAGGCGGATTGTTAATAGCACTTACGGAATGGACAAAAGCGTAGTACCAATATCTAAAGGGAAATGACACATGGGCAAGCGAGTGTTAGTCACTGTGTCAATGATATGCCTAATTTTTCTTTCAAATAACCCATTTTGTTCGTGTGTATAAGGACATGCAACCCAATGAATTACGCCTTTTGCTTTAAAATATGAATTTAATTTTTGAAACTCTTCTCCCCAATCTGAATGAAAAGCTTTTATGTCCAAATTAAATTATAATTTTACATAAGAGTTGAAATTTTTGAAAACACTAAAAACTTTACTCTTATTCTTATATGAAAAAATCCAAGTAAAGCGAGAATAGTCATTAATAAATCAAATAAAATATTTAAAACCTAAATTGCTAAAGCACGGGAGCTAGACCACTAGACATCGGAATGGATGATTTCAAAAGGGTTATAACTAGTATGCTCAACAAACACAAAAGGCAACTTTGCCATTTTTCCTAACTTACATGAGGAACAAACTAAAGAACGGTTTAAAGGACTTGATGTAGGTAATTTATTATCAATAATTATTCTAGAAGCTGTACTGCACCCACGGATTACCTAGCCTAGCATGCCATGCTTGGAAAGATGCATATTCATTCAAAAAGGCTTACGGCTTGCTAGGATTAAGTTCTTATAGGCTCGCATTACTCCTGCCTTGCAATAAGATTTCCTTGTTCTATTGATCCTTAACCAAAAAATAAGAAAGATGAAATTTAAAATAACAATTATTGTCTTTGGTAAACTTTTGAACGGATAACAATGGTTTCGATAAAGAGGCAACATGAAGAACATCCTTAAGCATCAAGTTAGTATTTTTAATGGAAGGATGAAAAGCCATACCGGTATGAGAGATTGACATTGATTGTCTATTACCAATTGTGACTTGATCCCCTCCTTTGTATGCTTGTGGATCAACTATTGTTTGAAGATTTGGTGTCATGTGATGTGTTGCACCTGTATCGGAAACCATGCTTGGTATGGGGGATGATCATGTTACGATTTGGTGAAGTAGGTGAATATGTAGGATATCCTTGATATGGCGATGAAGTATTAGTAGATTGTCATGTAATGTGTGCTTGTGGCCGAGTAGATTTTCTAGGAGCATGCGGGTGTCGACATGCATCGGTAGTGTGGTTATGATAACCACATATTTGGCACTTTCTTTTGTTGTTTTTCCAAGGCTGAAAATTGTGACCTTGATTAGTCATGGAAGTCGACCTTGGTGATTGGTGAAAGGATGGCCTAATGGCAATATTTGCTATGGGAGAAGCTTGATAGATTTTCAATAAATCTCATGGGAAAGAAGTTGGCTATACAGCTCATTAAAGGAAGCTGGATCAGCACGTAAATTTGAAACGAAACAATAGGATGAAATTCAATATCAATATTGCGATAAACAATTGCATTAAATTCAGCGAGTGAAATTGATCTTCCAGCAGTAGCTAACTCAACGACCAATGATTTTGCCTATTGAAGGTATTGAGAAATACTGAGATCATTCCTTTTCAACTCTTGAAGTTCTACATAAAGTTGAAGTTGACGATTTTGAGATATAGAACCAAATGCACTTTCTAGTGCTTTCCATGCAACAAAGGATGTATTGCAACCAATAATGTATGAATAGACCTCTTCGAGATAGAGATTAAAAAATCCATGATAGCAACAATTGGTCTCTTTTAAACTATTGTGTATAATCTAGATTAACAAAATTTTTATTTGAATTTGTGGTTGAAGGTTTTGTTGCAAGTGGAGCAAATGAGCCATCAATTAAATTATTCATGCCATGGTAATTAAGAAGAGGAGCGAACTGGGTTTTCCAAGCAAGATAATTTCGTAGGTTGAGTTTAATAGTAAAGCTGTAAAGTGATAGTAGGATTTGAGGTAGGGGTGGTTAAAGTAGAAGATACGGGAACAATTTGGTTAGCCATAAGCTCTAATACCATGATGAGATTTTGATTTAAAAGGGTTTTTCTCTATCAAAGATGAATTACATTCTGTCGTGCTACAATATCTATTTATACATATAATCCTATGATTGAATTTAGTAAGAAAAAATATTAATTTTATAGCAGTATGACACACCATCAATGGCGGATGTTCTTGCGCTAGTCATGGATTTGCCGCTTCAAGCCGATAATATCTTTCTCCAATTAGAGGTTCTCCTAAAGAAAGTACCATAAGAGGCATAAGTTTGCCTCATAGCAGAAAATGAAGGCAGAGAAGAAAAAGTCCTGTTAGGAGTAGGCTGGTAGAGAGCATGATGTAAATCCAGGAGAGGACTCTAAAGAGGATTTAGCATAAGCTTCAGAGGACTAGGGATATCATCCCTTTATAGCTCTACAGCTAGCAAATCCAGAAGGTGCTCCACATACTAGATAGAATTTAATTCTATAAGAGTAAAGCCGAGGAAATCCCTCAAAGAGGAAGGGGCAAGAGTACTTATAAACATTGATAAAGAAAGAGTGAACAAAAATGAGAAAAGATAGAAAAGTTATATCAAGCTCACTAGCGACAGTCTCCAAAGCTTATAGACTAGGTTGAGAGGAAGATGCACCACCCAGGGCTTGAGAGGGAAGTGCCCTATCCAGAGGTGCTAGTACCTAGGTAGAGGAAAGACCCTAACATAGAGTAAGAGAGAAAATGAGATGCATAAGAGAAACAATAATGAAAACAGAGATAGAATATATACCTCATTCCTAGTGAGAGGGCCAGTCATAGAAGGAAGGAATTCCATCTCCATAGCAATATCATCAATAGCTTCATAATCTATGATACGTGGAGGAATACAAAAAACAACTCTTCTCATCCTAGTAAACTCAACATCCAGTTCTCCAAAAAGAAAAAAAGGATAAGTATATTCGTAAGACATTGTATTGTGGTTAGAAGAAGTACACTCAGCCAGACTCGAATGCTAGAGCTAATAGGGAAGAGGTTCAAATGAAGAGGATGAAGGGTTGGCCATGAGGACTAGAGAATTGAATTGAGTTTAAGGAAAAAATGAAGATTTGAAAACCCTAAATAGAGGAAAATCTAGAAAAATGATTTAGAGAATGTGATGGAGATTGAAGATCTTCAAGTATAGATACATGATTTAAAACTAAACAGTAGTTACCAACTGAAGAGACATTTTAGGTTTTGGATAATCATTGTTAAATTAGAAACTGAAGGAAGGTGAAAGATTGGGTGCCAAAGCAATGATTTTTTTTTTTTTTTTTTGCCCATAAGACTGGACTACATGCATGAAAAGAAAAAAGGCAGCTGTTATACCTAAATTTATAATTTATTTAGGCCTAGCAGCCCAATAAATTGGCTAAAGCCCAAAGTGAGTTTAAATATAAGCCTATAAGTATAGATCAAATAGACACCCACAGGTAAGGCTTATTAAAACCTGGAATAGCCTATAGACAAAATAGGCCCAGAAGAGGCTATTACGTAAAGTCCCAATACTATTCTGACTCAAGATTAAAACAAAAGTGCATCATGGGTAAAAAAAAAAATTGCAAATCAGAAGTTCTATTCACAAAGGAGACATAACAGAGCACTAGAAGCAGAAATAAGAGGGATGGGACAACTTGCAATGAATGGATGAGAATACTAGAAGAACATGGAGCATTGCAACACAAAGCAAACATGGGCGTTGAAGTTAAGGAAAGATGCCATTATAGAAGATGGTAGAAGGCTAGAAGGGCTATAAATTCAAGTTGCAATTAAGAGGAAAAGACATAAACAAAAATAAATACAATACAACGCATGCATATCACTTTTGCAATTTCAGTATTTTTAGTAGTTACGGCTTCCAAACACTATAGGCTATAGTTCATAGATAATAATTATTAGACTATAATCAAATAAGTTGATATCATCTCTGGTTCATTTCTCATTTTCATTGTAATACACATATATCCCGTCTCTTTTATGGCTCCTTATGTTGTTTTCCGAGTAACTATGTTTATAAGTTTTTATATTTTCAACATTATTATCATTGGTAAAGGCTTTTGATTCAATTTACATCAATTTCAAAGTATGTTTAATTATCCAGTTTACATTTAAGCCATGTTTTTAAATTTCGTTATTGTCAATATCGCTTCTAGAGTATTGCTTCCAAAGTTCAATATAGTTCACTCCTTCTAGAGTTTACATTGTATAATGGAATCATTATTTTTTCCATTAATTTGCATGTTGTTTTAAGTACCTATTAGAAGATAATTCATATTGGCAACTTTGCTTTCATTTATATTTACATTATCATGCTATTGCTTACACATACATAGTAACACTAGCTTCCTAATTTCGAGTTTGGAAGATAGATTGTAGTCTAGTCTTCCTTCCAACCACTTTTCAATACTTTTGTTTTCAAAATCCTCTGAATTGAGGCACGCATAAAAGAATCTACAACACTTTATCTTAACATTACCTATTCTAGATTATATACAATCGAGCTATAATTTTGTTTTACATGTTAATTTTTTTTTTATCTATATCTATACTAATATAAAAGTTGTTCTACTTTGTAGGTTATAAAATGTAAAACAATAAGGAAGACATTTTTTTAGAAGGACCAAGATACTATTTTGTTATTGAATTAATGAACTTCTTTTCTTTTTTATTTGATGCTATGAGAATTTTTCGGAATAGTATTCACTTAAATTGAGACTAGGTTCTTTCTCCTATGATTTTAATTAACAGCACAACTCTTATTTTAATTAACAGCACACCTCTTACATCAAGCTAGTCCATTAAGAAGAATTCAATAAATTATTTTGCATGTTAATACTAAAATTTAAAAATAATAAATTAAAACAAGGAAGCAAACCTCCTTAATCACAAATTTAATACTTTAATTAATAAATTAATAACATCGTGCATATTGTTGTTATCCTAGTTATTATTGACCTGCACTTTTAGCTGTTTTTTATTTTTTTTGAAAAAAGAACCACAAACTCCAACGTGATCAAATATATATGTCATGTATATGAATCATGCAATGTATCTCGATATTTAACATATTTCAAAAAATTATCAATTATGTTAAAATTGCCTTTAAATAACATTAATCTTGAGATAAAATATCTAAGCTGCTTAAAAATAGCAAAACAATAGTTATATAGTCTGGAAACATGATCATAAGATATTACACATCATAGAGTAATCTATATAATTTCAAAAATATCTTAAACATGCATTTTAAGCACGATAAAAATGCAATATATATTTGAAAAGTCAAAAAATGCTCAAATAATAACCACATATATACACAAACAGTATAATAAAAATTATATATGGACGACACTCCCATTATTCCAAAGTATACAATATTCTTGCAGACTATAGAGAATAGCATTAAAAAATTATGATTTAAGGTTACAAAATCCAAATCCATAATTTTTATTTATTCAAAAATTTAATAAAAATTACAAATAAATTTTAATATTTAAAATAGACTACTGGGAAATTTTGGTTGAAAACAAAACATCCCCAGACCACCGCACGCATTTGCATGCGCCGCTAGAAGCGAATAGGCTATGTTTCAATCCAGCCAAGATCCAGCCTAACACGTTTCGATCTTCTATTGGCAGAATCACTATATTACGACGCACCAACGCACACACTATCTTATTTCTACTCACGTTATTGGTTCACAGAAGGAGCGTGCATGGAATGTGTGCATATTGTGATTATACAAGACAGATTCGTTGATCTATAGTTGTGATGGTGGCGCGTGTCTTCTTTCTGGCATCCCTTGCTAACTGTATTCTTATCTTCTCGACGAGCGGAGTATTTTTTTACGGTCCATTATGATTTTTACAATAAATAATAGGATGTGTGAATAATATTTTTTGTTACTGAGATTGGTTACAAAACTCAGTGAATCCTAGATTAATAAAGAGCCCCAATTTTTATCTGAACAATTTTAGATCTTAAAAAATTCATAAACTTTTCGTGCAAAACTGTGATTAGTTCAAATTTTATAAGGATAAGATATAAGACGTACTTTCTAACCATATAAATTTTATTTATTGAATAAATTATTTTCAAATAATTATATGGTCAAGAAATTTCAAGATTAACCTTTTAAATTGTTTAAACCAAAATTTCACACAAAACACATCAAAAATCCCCTCCATAATTTGAGATAAAATCTCTTTATAATATCTGCCCGCTCTTATAAAATAATATTGACATATTATTTCTCTTATGTACGCATCACCACACAATTGGGTTTGGTCCAATTAGGGAGCCTAATTTTAGGTCCAAGTGAAAAAAATAAAAAAACAACAATAGAATTTAAGGTCATTAAAATTTTGATATCATATTAAAAAACTTATTTCAATCTTAAAAACTAAACTTTTAAGGTATAGTTTAGTTATGAGAAATAAAAGAATTGAAATAAAAATATAAGAATTAAAATCAAAATTAGAGAATCAAAATGATATTCATAATATGTTTGAAATACTAATAAGGAATTAGAATGAAATTTAAATTTTCTAATATTTAGTTTTTAATAAGAATAAGAATAATGATTAAAAACATAATTTATCAACTATAATGGTAGTAAAAATAATAAAAATGGTGGTGGTGGTAAAGTAGTTAATACACATTAAATAAAAATAATATATTATTATTTTGAAAAAAAAATTCATTCTCATTTTTTATTTTTATTCTCATCTTTTACATGAGAATGAAATTATGTGTAATTTTTATTCTCGTTTTCACTCTTTTTTCCTATTTCTACTTTAGTCTTTTTAATCAAACGGCTATAAAATAGGAATAAAACTTTTATTTTTATTTCTACTACTCTATTCTTGATAATCAATCAATACCTAAAAATCATTCAGTATTACATGCTCGAAGAAATGCATCATCTTTTTAACTTAATTGGTCAGCTTGGGAAGGACCTAAAAACAGTGGCTTTGAAGCATACACTGAGAGAGGGTAATGAGGTTGTAGATGGTTTAGCAAAACAAACCTTAGATATAGTATAAGAATTTTTAGCTTGGTCTTAACTCTTTTCTATTCTAATCTTGTTTTTATTTTCTGGAATTCTTGGCCATATTCTTACTGGCCAGCTGCTTTCGTTTTTGGTAATAAAGCTCTTGTTTTCATTAAAAAATGAGTAAATCAATAACTAGTATCTTTATTTTTTAGAGAAGAATTATTTAGTTTTTTTAATCGATGTTAATCACATTTAATTTATTATCATTTTATTTCATAAAATGTCATATTTTTTCATCTATCATTTTGTATCTTTTTTACTTATTTTTTCTTTTCCTATTTTTTTTTTAAATAAATCAAATAAAAAAAAGCACAAAGGACTAAGTTATAAGAAAATTTAAAATATAAGGACTAAATAATTATTGTTTGAAACAAAAAAAAAAGCATGCATTTATTTTACCTCTTCAATCCCAATCTAATTAGAAAAAAAATTACAAATTTGAAATGAAATAAGAAAATTAATGCTATATATTGACCTTTCACAAAGCCCTCTGGTCGTTAGTTGGTAATTAGTATTGCTCTCTCTCTCTCCCCCTTATGTTGCCTTGGCATGGCTCCTTCAATGATTCTTCTTATCACCATCTTTCTTGCTTTTTTTCCATAGTCATGCTTAGCTCAACAACAACAACCATGCACAACTTACAAATTTTCAAACAACAAACAGTTTTCTTCTTGTAGTGATTTGCCTATTCTAAGTTCTTCCCTACACTAGAACTACCATCCATCGTCCAACAGAATTGATGTTAGGCATATTGGTGTATGTGATCGTAGATGGATTACTTGGGCTATCAATTCTACTTCAAAAGGTATGATAGGTTAGCAAGCAATCGTTTATTTTCCAAGAACTGATGGAAGTCTTGTAATTTATACTTCACT